TTCTGCTCCACAAACTTCATTCGTTCCATCAAACTCGCATGGAATATTTTCCATAACTATATTCCTAATCCTCGCAAGCTTCTCATACTTTTATAAGATATACCTCGCAAGCGCTAACATTGCACAATGAAACAGATAAATGTAGAATAGCACTGTTGAAAACAGGCTTACTTATAATCGTACCATTTTATTCAGAATAACATCTAACACTACGAAAAAGAGCATCAAACTTTGAGTATGATTTGATCAGAGCAGATGGAGGATTGGTCGATGATTGAATTCAGCAGTGAAGGCAACATTATTGGCAATAAGAACTTGCACACTGTAAGTAGCAGAGTATCAAGTAAATCCGCAGTTTGTTATAAAAATTTCAATAAGTAGAAAATCGAACAATAGAACAGAGTTTAGACGAAGTAAGATACAATTGTTACTTGAAAATGTAAGCCATTGAGAGAACACTAAATGATGAGTCATGATTATTAATGTTACAAACAGTTGAGAGGGACGAAGTGTTATTTGCTGAGTACAAAAACAAAAACACTTGCTCATCTAATTTCAAAAAAAATATGAAGAGATGAAAGCACCTTGAACACACATAATGTCTATAGCCGAAGAGATTTTCCTTTGGTACTACTGTACCTATATCAACATTTAAAAAACTTTAAAGGCAAGTTGATTCAAAAATAAAACTTGGTTGAGTATCAATTCGCTATATTCAATCAAAGCAAATCCCCAGATGTAGTGTATTGTGTGCACTTGCACTATGTGTGAGAGATTAAAACGGCCACTTCTCCGACTAAAAGCCAAAAAGCAAAACGAGTTCGTTGATCTTTTGGACAAAGTCACAACATTCAATCTTTCACCATTAAATCATAAAATTATTCGCCAAATTTAGGCAAAAAATCTTGAAAGATCGAATATTCGATGGATGGACACCAGAGCGTTAAATAATTTGCATTTAGTTAACACTCGCTAATGATTGAAAGTTTTCGAAATCTGAGAGCATTGCGAACAACAAGCGCGACATAGCCGAGAGTTACATATTACATTAGAGCACTTCCCGCTAGATAACCCGAGATAGAAAGAACAAATAAAAGTTAATAACTATGTTAACTTCATGAAGCTGAGAAAGCTGACAACAAACAAGGGAAGTGTAGTTCCTGAGGTTTCACGATTTTTACTTGGTGCGATTCCCTGAAAATTCATCTGCGATGGGGACGTTTCCGATATGAAGACGGATGGAGTGCAATATCATCATCGCGTTTCGACGATCCAGACGAAATCGTACGCTTGTCCTAAAACTAAAACTGCATCGTACTATGACACAACAGCAAAGTGATACACCGCTCTTTGCTCAACAATTTTTTTCAAAAATGCTACACTGGTAGCAACAGTTCCGATATCTCGTTAAAAAAGATGTCTTAGATAAAAATACCAGTGATGTGAGACAGTTCCAAAGATGCACATCGCCAAAGAATTCATCAATATATCAACAAAATTGCTCGCCTGATCAGTTCGCTCCTCGCTTAGGTACTCCTCATCTTCCTCGATCATATCATCATCGATTTCAGAATCAGAATCCGAAAGCTCTTCTCGCACTTTAAAAAAATACTTGATAGAGCATTTTAGAAGAGAAGACAATTATAAACTTTCTGGACTAGTGATTATATCATGTGCACAATATATAGTGTGCGTAAAACATTATATGCGAACTATACGCAGAGTTTCAGCAAACATATGTAAGTTCAGCTTGCACAAAAGCATGCAGAAAAGCGACCGCAAAGCCATTTTTAGCGTAACTGATTGAACAGATGCTAATCTTACTTTGTCAACCAGATTTCAGCAGTAAAGTTATGACCAGATTCTTAGGTGTAATTGTACAGCACACCAACTCCAGAAGGCGCAAATGTAGATTGGCTGGACACAGAAGGTGGAGCTTTCTGCCACCTAATGTGCTATGAGATACCTTGTGTATGTGCCATGCAGCATTTACACTAAGCACGCGGTAGACCATAGATGTCTGACCATTGAAAATTTAGATAACAAACACAGCACTTTGAAATTATTGAGAAAAAGTGATAAGTGAGTGAAAAAAATTGCATACCAGGACCTCCAGTACCAGAACCAGCTGCACCGAAAATAAAGAAAGCGTGTAGAGCAATCAACTCGCTTAACTCCATAGGTCGAGCAGCTAAACGTGCTGCGTAGCCAAACAAAGCAAAAAGCAACATCACAAAAGCAAACAAAAAGCAAAGATATCCAAAAGCAAATAATTTCAAGAAAACAGCGTTTTAAACATGATGAAACATGCGATTACCCAAGATGCCGATTTTCTGTCCCAACCATCGCGCTTTCTGCACTACATCATCCTGCATCAACTTGAAGCACATGGCAATCAGTGCCATGCCGAAAAGGAGATATAATGCACACACGATCAGCTTTTCCTAAATAGAGGAATTTCTCTCAAACATTCCTCAATTCTACAATTTTATAAGTAGTTGATATAAACTTTTAGTTTGATTGTCATAAGATTACGATCCCCCGTGACGGTGTACCGCCTCATCGTGGCGCGGGGGTGACTCTGGGTGTCGAACTGCGAAGTACAACGGAGGTTTACCCTCCAGCAGTCTTCCAAGCGGAGAAGGAGCTCGACGTTTCCGGTCCTGGATGCCCAGCTAAGAGTACGCCATGCCAAAAGCGCCATCGTCTGGCTGATTCAATCGCTAGGCGGTTCACTGATCCACATAAGGTCAGCGATCATCTGTGGTGAAAGCTTGGCAGGCCCCGACAAGGCTCTACTAATTTTTGGGAGAAAGTTTTTTTATTGCCCGTACAGCATGTAAGAGAAAAAGAAGCCCTACAGACTGAATCACATCTACGGCATCGGATGTCATCACAGGACGCAATGGATTTTGGACCAAAAGGACATGTTAACGACTCGCCAGAGAGATTGTGTCATGCTTTGCACCTACAACGCCAGAACAGTCTACACCAACGCCGATCTTCACGCCCTTCTCAAAGCTGCAGGGCACTAACACCACGTAATCGCCTTGTATGAAACAAGGTTCAGGAAGACGGACGTGAGGCAGTTGCGTTTTGCACTCATCATTCGTGTTGAGAAAGTCCCATTACGGAACGTTAGAGGCATTGGATTTGTCGTATCTAACTACATATCTGTTGTCCATCTTGTCGATTCGCATGAGATCCTATCACCTCGCCTGGCTATCCTTCGACTCCGTCCT